TTCCTGCATATAAGCAGAAGCCTTGGGGAATGGTCTCTAACTTGTGGAACGCTTGGATCCTGTGTATAGTCGTGTCATTGTTCAGCAGCCTGCCATGCTCTGCCGACCTTGAGACTTATAATGGACTTGAATTAACGGTCTGCCATGTGGTTTGGTAACACTGGGGCTGTGTCTTTTTACTTGTCAACCTTGGGCTTCTCAGCCTCAGCAGCCAGCAGCTGTCTGAGTGAAGAAAAGCCTCTAGCTCCAGTGGGCTGGGAGCAGGAGGCAGAGCTGGACCCCAAGGTTGAGGGCTTTCACCCAGCCCCTAGAGCCTGGCACTTTGAACTTGGACTTAAAGCCTCCAGACTGTAAGATAATAAACTCCTGTTTGTTAAGGCCATGCCATCTGTGGTATATTCCTGTCAGAGCGGTACTAGGGAACCAGAACAGCAACCAAATGCATTGCTCAGTATGCCAAGAGAGCTCCTTTAGATCCAGGAAAGACCTTAGAAATTACCCAGTTCTCCTTTTACAGGGCATAAAATACATATTCTGAGAAGCAAACCCAGTTACCCGGGAAGTTTGTGGCCACTCGATAGCCAGGTCTCCCACCTCCATGGCGCCTGCCACAGCCTGCCCTCTCACCCGCATGCTGCCCTTGACCAGCATGCACATTTGTGGCAAGAACTGTTTACAGTGCATGAGGTCAGTCTGGCACCAGGCATCAGGCACCAGGCACCAAGCACCCACTTGGCTGGCCAGGTCACCGCAGGAGCACCTGGGGAATGTGCCTGAGCTGGGCCACCCTCCCCACCCTACACCAAGAGTCCAGGTCCAGAGCTGGGCCTCTGAAAGAGATTTTTTTTTTTTTTTTTTTTTAATCAACCCTCGGCCTCCAGGCCTCTCTAAGGGTGTCAGAGGTCACAACCTGGAGCCAGGAAGTGACTGAGTAACTGCTATTAACTAAGCACTATATGCGTCCACGAGGTCATTCAACAAGCATTTGACACTGCCATGGGCCAGGTACCACATGAACACAATAGGGGAAGTATGCAAGCACCCCGCTCTTTGAGCTTACAGCCTAGTGGAGGAGACAAATAAAAGGAGAGGCAGGGCCACCTTCATGGGCAGGTGACCAGGGTAGTCATACAGGTCCTCGTGCTTAGAAGGGTCCTGCATTGGCCTAATGCTCTTCTGTAGTTGTCTTGAAATTCTTTACCATATTTGAACAAAGGACCTCCTCTATACATTTAGTACTGGTCCTAGCAAATTATATAGCCAGTCCAGGGAACAGGTGAGCAAACACAGCATGATCAATACCAAAAAGAGGAAGTGGGGACACAGAGCAGGGCCTCTAAACACAGCCTTCTCAGAAGATAGATAGTTCCAGCTGAGGCCTGAAGGATGAATGGGAGAAGCCAAATGAAGAAGAGGGGGAAAGAAGGTACCAAGCAAAGGCAAGAGTATGTCCGCCCAACACCTGCGATCAGGAAGTCTGGGGAGCTTCAGAGAATGGCTGGGGTGCAGGATTTGGGGAGCAGCAACAAGCCACAAGTCTGAAAAGGAAACAAAGACCAAGAACTGCCAAAATAATTCCGAAGAACAAAGTGGCAGAACACATCCTATTAGACATCAAGATCTTTTCTCAAGCTTCTATGATTAAGAGCCACCACCTGTCCGTTTGTGGTGCTGCGGTGGCTTGTATGTTACTATGATGCTGGAAGCTATGGCACTGATATTTCAAATACCAGCAGGGTCACCCATGGTGGACAGGTTTCAGCACAGCTCCAAGAGTTTCAAGAGCTTCTAGTCTAAGAAGAAAGATCTCCTGGTCTACTTCTTCTGAAAATTAGCCTGTGAAACTCCGTGGATCACAAGAATAGCGTTCGATACAATCATCAGGAAAGACGAATTGCTAGAGAAGCACATCATGTTTCGTAAAGTAGAGGGCCAGCAAAAACGAGGGAAACCCTCAGTGAGGTGGCACAATGGACTCAAATACACTGACAATCACAGCAAGCGTGCAGGAGCAGGCAATCCTTTGCTCTGTTGTACGTGGAATCATCATGAATCAGAGCCGCCTCGATGGCAAATAACAACAGTAACCACGTAATTAAAAGAGTATAGCGCAGGGATAAATAGGCCAGTGGAACAAAACAGAATCCAAAAACAAATCCAGAGGTATACGGAAACATGATTGCAATAGAGAAAGCATGAGAAACCAGTGTGGAAAGGATACACTATTCAACAAATGGTGCTGAGACAATTGGTTATATATTTAAAAAAAAAAAAAAAAAAAAAAAACTGCCATGGAGTTGATTCCAACTCACAGTGACCCCCATTGGGTTTCCAAGGCAGTAAATTTTTACAGAAGTAGATTGCCTGGTCTTCTTTCCACAGAGGCTGGTGGGTTTGAACTGCCAATCTTCTGGTTAGCAGTCAAACGTCTTAGGCACTGTACCACCAGAGTTCCTTAATTGGGTATACATAGAAAAAAAATAATAATAATACATGCTGGTGATAGTTGGAGCTGTGTGTCAACTTGCTGGACTACAATTCTGTGTGGGTTAAGCAGTTGTGATTCCCATGATGGGATCAGATGAATGTTTTGAGCAGCCAATCCATTGAAAGGGAGTTTCCCTAGGGGTGTGGCCTGCTTCCAGGCCTGCTTCTGGACACCCTGGGAAAAGAGACACTCTTCTGTGGATCGGGATTCTGTTGCGCCTCTGAGTCCATGAGCGAACAATCCACCATTCGGCCTGCAGATCTTGGATTCGTCATTCATTGGGGTCAACAGCCTTGAGCTCCTCAGCCCCTGCAGGTGCAAGAGTCAGGAAAAGCCTCCAGCTTGACATTTGATCCAAGAACTTTGGACTTGCCAGCTTCTGTAAGCATGTGAGCCATTTTCTTAAGATAAATTTCTCTTTCTCTCTCTATATAAGCTTTACTGGTTTTGTTTCTCTAGAGAACCCAGTGTAACACAACTCCTTTTTCACACCACACACAAAATTAAATTCCAGGTGGATTAAAGATTTACACATGGAAAGCAAAGCTTTTAAACTTTCAAACTACAGAGTATTTTTATAAAAACTAGGGAGAGAAAGGGGTTTCTTTAAATGACACACAAAGGATCTTTTCCCAAAAGGAAAGATTGATAAGTTAGATCACATTGTTATTTTTTAATTTCCATACAACAAATATGTGCACACCCGGAAGGACGGCGCTGACTCATTCACTCTCTTCAAGCCCCTTTCAAGCAGAGCTATGCCTGTCAGCGTAAAGGTTCCTGGATAGAGGGCACACCCATAGTGGTAACGGCTACCCATGGACCCAAGTTACAGGGTTGGGTCCTCAGCTTCTCAGATTAGGATGCTAGACACTGGGACGCCCACGACCTCTAGCCATGGTTCCCCACTTCCTGATGCCAAGGAAGCTAAGTCATTCATCAAAAACTGTCTTAGTAAATACAGCATCAAAACTACCAAGTACACCTAACTTATCCTACCTGGGGGCTTCTCTGTCCAGCATGCCCTTGCCCTGCCCCACAGCAGACTACTTCCCACCCTCTATCAGCTGGGATGTCACTTTCTCAGAGGCCTTCTCTGACAACCCCACCGGAAGAAGGCCCTGGTCTTGTCATTCTCTCACATCACCCTGTTTATTTTCTTCTTCTTGCCTATCACCATGTGTCATTATCTGTTTACAGTCTCTGTTTCCCACTAGACCTGTTTCCCACTAGACCTCAGTTTCCTAAGGGCAGTGACCCTAACTGTTAGAAGTCTGTGGCAGCCAACATCCTTTTGTTTGTGAGTTTGGCTTGCATGGTATTTTTCCAAATACTGAATTTGTTGGCAATATTTAAAAATCAGGAAATTTTACGTAAATATCCAGACTCCCAGGTTCTCTTGAAAAGACCTGGCACAACCTGCTGGAGCTGAGTAACTGCTGCAAACTTTAGTTCCTCAGCCTTCCCCAGGTCCCCAGTCCACCCAATTACATCATACTTGGCCTGTCTTCACTCCTTTACCTTACCTGGCGCCCCTGGAGGGCTTTGAGTCCCAAACCTCTGGGCTCAGTCACCAATTGCCCCTACACTTGAGACGAGCTAAAAAAACATAGGTCAATAAGTAAATTGAAAGGTTGACTGTTTTAGAGGAATGCACCAGGCAGGCTCTACCCCACACAATTTGGTAGTGCCTAAGGCATTTGACTGCTAACCAGAAGGCTAGCAGTTCAAACCCACCAGTCACTCCTCGGAAAGAAAATGGGGCAATCTACTTCCGTAGTGATAACGCCTTGGAAACCCAAGGAGGGGTCGCTATGAGTCGGATCCGACTCTACGGCACATAACAAGAATAACAAGAAGGACACCCTTTCTAGTGCCTAAATTCTTCTGGGTCTCCAGAACCAGTTCCTCTCCCACGAACAATTCATGTCAATGCATTTGGCACATTCTTTCCCTAGGCAGGTTAATCTGAATGGTAAGATTAAGGCTTTGATCATATTATTTATGCCGATTCAATCCGCAAAAAGCCGCCATAAATCTTTGCAAAGGCGGGAGTAGGGTGGACAGATGGGTATGAGATAGTGGGATTTTGGCGTGTTAGGGGGAGGCCTCATGTCTAAATCCCTTTTAAGGAATGCGAACCTACCCCATGAGAAAAAAAATTCCTTATCCTTTAAGTTGGGATGCAACATAGTAAAGAAAGTAAAATGTGCCAAAGGACACAGTGCGCACGCGTGTCCGAAGCCTACGTTGGTTTTTCTGGGCAGCCCAGGAACCGTCCATCCACACTGCGCAGGCGCCTAGCCAGACCAAGCTTTCCCTCCCCATTCCACCTCTCAGCTAATCGAGAGGACGCCCTCCCGCAGCACACGGTTTCTGCGCAAGCGCTCTCCTGCACCCACCCACCCCGCGGTGGTGCCTAGCCGTGGGTGGGGCCGGGACGTGAGGGCAGCGCGCTGGCGTCACAGGGGCGGCTATATAAGTGAATACAGGCTCCGCCCCTCCGCCCCAGTCACTGAGCCGCCGCCGAGGACTCAGCAGCCTCCCCCTCGAGCCCCCTCGCTTCCCGACGCTCCGTCCCCCCCGCCCGTCTTCTCCCGCCGCCGCCTTCCGCAGGCCGTTTCCACCAAGGAAAAGGAATCGTATCGTATGTCCGCTATCCAGAACCTCCACTCTTTCGGTAAGCCACAGGCCCGGATGGGAGAGCAGGGCGCTCCAGGCCTGGAGACGGCCTGGAAAGCTGCCAGATATACGAGCTTTCAGAAACTTTGACGAAGGGAAGATGTCCAGGTTCGGGGGTTGAGTCCTGGGTCCTGGAGTCGGTTTCTGAGCGCGACCGGAAGGAGCGGGAAGGAGGTCAGCCCTTGGGCGAGCCCGGCGTTTCGGGTGGCGCAATTTACTAATGGCTCCCGGGTCTCTTGGAGCCACACCCGCCCCCTCCTGCCACCCCTGCGTCACGTCCGTTACGTCACCCGCCGTTGTCCCGGAGCCGGGAGGGAAAGGCGGTGCCAGCCCTAAGTGACAAACGCACTCGCCAATAGGGGTGGGAAGCTCGGGCCCGCCTCGGGAGCTCGGGTTCCGGCCGATTGCATCAGCCGGGTGGGGCGCTGCTTGCCAGCCCCAGCTCCCCCAACACGTGATCGGCTTCAGAGGGCGACTTGGGAGCGGAGGCCCAGGCTTTGTCAGAGGCTGGGAAGCCGGCCGTCCCGGACTGACCTGTTTGGAGAGAGCCAACATTTTAATCTGATCAACCTCTAATCTGATCCAAGACCTGTAATTGCAGTATTAGTTTCTTCGGTCCAGTGGGAGGGTAGTGCACATCTGAGCCACAACTTTAAACGAACTTGATCTTTCTTTCCAGACCCCTTTGCTGATGCAAGTAAGGGTGATGACCTACTTCCTGCTGGGACTGAGGATTATATCCATATAAGAATTCAACAGAGAAACGGCAGGAAGACCCTTACCACTGTACAAGGGATCGCTGATGATTACGATAAAAAGAAACTAGTGAAGGCATTTAAGAAGGTAGGTCTCAAATGATTTAAAAAAAAAACAGAAATACTACTCCACCCACCCAAACCCACAAGAGAGTGCTAGCTGTGTCCCCAGGACCCATTGCCTTCCAGTCTGTTCCAACTCCTAGCTATACTGTAGCCTTTGTAAGGCTGTAATTTTTATATAAGCAGACTGCCACATCTTTCCGTTAGGAGCCAAGTGTTTAGCTGCTTTGCCACCAGGGATTGTTATGGTCTAATTTATTTTGCTTCCTTTATGCTTGCAGAAATTTGCCTGCAATGGTACTGTCATTGAGCATCCAGAATATGGAGAAGTAATTCAGCTACAGGGTGACCAGCGCAAGAACATATGCCAGTTCCTTGTAGAGGTGAGTTCAGTCACTTCTTGGTGATCTGCTTGTACCTCCTGTGCCAAAGCTCAGGTCCTACCTGGTCAGTTTCTGCTGGGGTGGTTTGGTTGGATTGATAAGGAAAGGCAAGGCAACAGTTGAATCAAATAACAGAAGGGACTGGTCTGCCTTTAAGTTTACTGTGTTTGTAGATCTACTTTAAAGATGTAAGTTAAAATTGCACACTGGCTTTCAAAAGGATGTGAGATTGTTTCTGAACTTATTTTGTAAAATACTAGGTTTAAAAAAATGAAATTTTACATGTATTAAAGTATGTTCTTAATAATAGTTGTAGAGATTATTCCTTGGTGACCCTAATTCAACATCTGTGCAGGTGGAACTTGGGCACAAGATGTTCAGAGAGGTGATAATAGCATACCTGCAGTTGAAAACCATTGTACATGGGGTTGTCGCTCTGCATAACGGGAAGCCAGGAGTATTGGCATTAAAACTAGGCTTTACCTGCCCCCTCCTTAATACTATGCCCTTTTTCTCATTGCAGATTGGACTGGCTAAGGACGACCAGCTGAAGGTTCATGGGTTTTAAGTGCTTGTGGCTCACTGAAGCTTAAGTGAGGATTTCCTTGCAATGAGTAGAAAATTTCCCTTCTGTCCCTTGTCACAAGTTTAAAACCTCACAGCTTATGTGATGTAACCATTTGGGGTCCACTTTTAACTTGGGACTGTGTAACTCCTTCATGCAATAAACTGAAAAGAGCCATGCTGTCTAGTCTTGAAGTCCCTCATTTAAACAGAGGTCAAGCAATAGGCACCTGGCAGTGCCCAGCCTGAGACAAAGCAGTAATGTGATGTTTCAGCCAAGCTCGGAGCCCCAAGATCACAAATGGCTATGTCTGGCCAGAAGTTCCCCTGTCTAAAAGAACATCACCCACCACCTTAACAGCCCTTGGAGAAGCTGAGAGGATGGGGTGAGGCAGCTGTCCCACTAGAGGGAGCCTTTGGTAGCAAAAGAAAGATCCCCTGGTGTGTCTCAAGTTGACAAGGTAGGCAGAGCTTAGGAGAAGCCACCTTCCCTCTAGTGAGGTGACAGTATATCTGGCTTGCCACCAAGGTCTGTATTCTTTTTGACCAGACATATCCTAGCTAAGGCCTGTCCAAGGAACACCAGAATGTGAGGCCAACCTGAGTTAAAACTTTTGACAAGGGAACAAACTTCAAGCTGATGTATCGGACACATAGCTAGCCCTACAGCTTGCAACTTAACTAGCAACAGCTGCCCAATGCCATGTGAAGTAACAACTGGTTTTTGTTTGTTTTTTTTTCCCTTCAGTTTAAATGTTATGTAATGTATTTAAACTCTTATTTAAATAAAACTTGTTTTCAGAAACATCTGACTTGCAGATTCTCTTTTATATGTGAAAGAACCACTAAGATAAGGGCTTCAGGTTTGCTAAGAATGGTCATGAGGAAGCACACTCTTCCCAGCTCTAGTGGCTCAGTATGTGAGGCATTCATCTGCTAACAAAAAGGTGGACAGTTCAAACCCACCAGCAGCTTCTCGGGGGGGAAGGATAACGGCAATCTGTTTCTGTAAAGATAATATAGCCTTGGAAACCTTGTGGGGCATTTCTAGTTTGTCCTATAGGGTCTCTTGAGTCAGACTCGATCTGGTGGTGGTTTGGGTTTGGTTTTCAGCCAGCCCCTGTCTTGTAGCTGAAGGCCAGGCTCTTACAAATGTGAGTTGGATGATTATAGAGAATAGGGGGAGCTGCTGAACAAGGGTGCTGAGCCAGTCACAACAGCCCTGAAATGGATGACCAACCCCAGAACTAGGAGTTTGTTAGAAATCTACGAAACAACACCTAACTCCAAACAGCGATGCGGTAATTAAGTTTACTTCCAGCCGGTGTCCTATCTGTTCTAATCATCTGTCTAACCAGGGTGGGGGAAATAGCTGAGTTTTGACTTTACTCTGTTTCAGTTCCCCCTTAGAATGGTTACTGTTCCACGTTCTTGGGAAACAGGGTGACGATTCTAGCTGCTTTTGCTGACTGGGGGCGAAGATGGTGGAACTCAATCCTTAGTAACTAGTTTCCTGTAGTTTAGACAGTTCACAGAATTTTCTGGCCATAGTCTGGGGAGAGGAGACTAGGGGTACCTATAGAGTAGCTTGTAATATTAGAGGCTTGAAGACACAAGGAGCTAGGTAGACATTGAATACAACAGGCAAGTAAAGTGTTACTGTTAATATGAGGAGCACAGCCACCCTAAATTGGGTAACCAAGAGGTGAGCCAAGAAAAATCTATCCCAAAGGTGTGGGTTAAATCATGTCATACAGTTTCCCTGTTGCAATTTATGAATAGCCTGTTTATCTTGTTCTATTTGTCCTGATGCATTAGCTAATGAACATCAAGTAGCAATAATGTATATATGTACCCCACCATGTGCTACTAGCATAAGGTCCAGGGCTGCCCGATTCTGAAGTCATAAAGCAGCCAAAGTTTTAGAGCTCTGGTAGTGTAGTGCCTAAGGCACTTGACTGCTAACCAGAAGGCTAGCGGTTCAAACGTACCAGCCGCTCCTCGGAAGGAGGGTTGGGCAATCTACTTCCGTAGTGATACTGCCTTGGAAACCCAAGGGAGGGGTCGTTATGAGTCAGGTCCAACTCAATGGCACATAACAACATTTCACCACAGAGGAACTTTTGTTAGAATTGATCGCATTGGCCCCTTCATCTCCAGCCCAATAAAGATTAGACTGAAAGTTGAAGGAACTTCTTGAGCATCCCTGAAAGCAAGATTTAGAGGATGAGAAATTCACATAGGCTGTAGGTTGATGTGAACTCGTGTGTTAGGTCCTATGCAGGTTTTGGGCCATCTTGTGCCTTTTCTAATCTCTGAGATTACTATTCTGAATTAAGTTGACACCATCCATATTAAATCAGCTATCTCTGGAAGCAACCAAAGCAATTACCTGGCAACGGGACTGAGGATTATGAACACAGTCCAGTTGATGTGATGGATGCATCTCGGGGCTGAGGTAATTAAAAAGACGTAATTATCTCCAATTAATAGTTGAGAAAGGTGAGGGAGATGTTCCCAAGGCTAGTAAGTGGCAGAGCCTCATCTAGAACCCAGGACTCCTTGTCCGCTGTGTTTTCTACCAGGTGACGTGTACATTAACAATCTAAGAAACTCATTTTACAGAGATTGTTGAGTGGTATATGCAGCGTACCATACTGGGAGCCGTGGGGCAGGCAAAGGCGGACACCTTGTACACCAGGAGCTGACACCCTGCTGGGGGAGTATGACACTAGCCCACAGCCATGACACAAGGCAAAAAGAAGTCAATGCTGCCAGTGACTTGGCCGAAGTTTCTCAGGATTGAGAAATATTCTTCCCCACCTCCATCTGCAACCTAGGAAGCCAGGGATGGCTTCATAAAGTGCCGTCTGAAGCAGCGCATTTTAGGCAGAGAGAAAGGAAGGAGTCAAGATTCAGAGGGAAAAAGGTACCAAATGTGTCCGAGGAACATTTGTTGTCTGTTGTGAGATGCCATGGAGTTGTGACACTTAGCAACTCTGTGTAAAACAACAAAACACTGCCCAGGCCTGCACCATCCTCACAATTGCCGTGTTTGAACCCATTGTTGCAGCCACTGTGTCAAACCATCTCATTGACAGACTTCCTTTTTTTCACTGACGCACCACCAAGCATGATGTCCTTCTCCAGGGACTGGTCCCTCCTGATGACAAGTCCAAAGTACAGGAGACAAAGTCTCACCATCCTTGCTTCCAAGGAGCATTCTGGCTATTAATATACCAAGACCGATTTGTTTCTGCTGGCAGTCTGTGGTATAGTCACTATTCTTCACAAACACCATGATTTAAATGCATCAGTTCTTCTTCCGTCTTCCTTATTCATTGTCCAGCTTTTGCATGCATATGAGGCAATTAAAAATACCATGGTTTGGGTCAGGCATGCCTTGGTCCTCAAAGTGACATCTTTACTTTGAGCACTTTAAAGAAGTCTTTTGCAGCAGATTTGTCTAAAGCAGTCTGTCATCTGATTTTTCGCTACTTCCATTGATTTGGGATCCAAGTAAAATGAAATCCTCGACAACTTTATCCTTTCTTTGTCATGATTTTTCTTACTGGTCCAGTTGTGAGGATTTTTGTTTTCTTCATGTTGAGGTATAATCCACACTGAAGGCTGTAGTCTTTGATCTTCATCAGTAAGTGCTTCAAGTCCTCTTCATTTTTAGCAAGCAAGGTTGTGTCGTCTGCATATCTCAGGTTGTTAATGCATCTTCCTCCAATCTTGATGCATTCTTCTTCATATAGTCCAGCTTTTCAGATTATTTGCCCAGCATACAGATTAAGTATGGTGAAAGGATACAGCCCTGATGCCTGACGCACACCTTTCCTGATTTTAAGCCACGCAGTATCTCCTTGTTCTGTTCAAACAACTGCATCTTGGTCTATGTATGGGTTCTTTATGAGCACAATTAAGTGTTCTGGAATTCCTGTTGTTTGAAATGTTATCCATAATTTGTTACAATCTATACAGTTGAATGCCTTTGCATAGTAAATAAACACAGGTAAACTTCTTTCTGGTACTCTCTGCTTTCAGCCAACATCCATCTGACATCAGCAATGATATCCCTTGTTCCATGCCCTCTTCTGAATCCAGCTTGAATTCCTGAGTTCCTGTCAAAGTATTGCTGCAACCGTTTTTTAATTATCTTCAAAACTTGTGTATGATATTAATGATATTGTCCAATAATTTCTGCTTTCTGTTGGATCACCTTTCTTTGGAACAGGCCAAATATGGATCTCTTCCAATCAGTTGGCCAGGTTATCTATCTTCCGAATTTTTTGGCATAGACAAGTGAGCACTTCCCAGCATTGCATCCATTTGTTGAAACATGTCAGTTGGTATTCCACCAGGGCTTGTTTTTTTGCCAATGCCTTCAGTGCAGCTTGGACTTCTTCTTCCAATACCACCGGTTCTTGATCATATGCCACCTCCTGAACTGTAAATGTTAATATGAAAAAATACCTTAGTGAGTGAAGAATTCATTGGTCATAACAAATGTCTCCCAGATCTTTATTCCTTATTTGCCTCTCCGGCCCTTAGTTTCTCAGTCCCTCCTCCTCCTTTCTCTCTGCCGCCATCTCCTCCAGCCTCTCCTCAGTCTCCCTGCCCCACTACAGGGATCAGCAGACCTCTGCCAGCCCACCCCCCAGACCCAACCCTGTAGCAGCAGGCAAGAGCAGGGACAAAATGGACATTTCTTAAAATGGTATTATGAAGACAAAATGGAAACTGGTCAGTTACAATTGTGCAGAAAGTCTCAAAAAGTATTTAAAATATAAGAAGCTCTGATGGCATAGTGCTTAAAGCATCTGACTGCTAACCAGAAGGTTGACAGTTCAAACCCTCCAGCCACTCCATGGAAGGAAAACTAGGCAATCTACTTCCACAAAAATTTACCACTTTGGAGACCCAAAGGGGGTTGCTATGAGTCAGAATTGACTCCATGGCAGTGAGTTTGGTTTTGGTGGTTTTATTTAAAACCTATTCAAATTCCTGTAAACTCAAATAGGGAAACATTTGGAGAACTGAATATTCAACTAAGTAGCTCTGAGAGAATTGACTTTCCTTGTTCACCAGTCTGGGAGCTCTGGTAAAATAGTGCCTAAGGCACTTGACTGCTAACCAGAAGGCTGGAGGTTCAAACCCACCAGCCACTCCTCGGAA